CTTCTCAATTGTGTTTACAGGGGCTTGTCATATGCCTAGATACAGTCCCTTCACTGAGTGCGTTTACAGGGCTCGTCCTTATAGCCTAGGTACAGTCCCTTCACTAATGCCTTTACAGGGCTCGTCATACAGCCTAGATACAGTTCCCTTCACTAGTGCGTTTACAGGGCTCGTCATTATAGCCTGAATACAGTCCCCTTCACTAGAGCGTTTACAGGGCTCGTCATATAAACATTCCACAAATCATTACACTGTGATTTTTATTTTTAATATTGTTTTAATTTGATTTCAGTGTATGTTTATTGTTTGGAGCTTCTTCTCTGTCGACTGTAAACAAGCAACTGCTTACACTGCACAAAACTTGATAGCCCTGTAAACGCACTAGTGAGGGACTGTATTTCAGTCTTAATCTCTCGTCTCCTCCTTTCTTTTTGATCTACGAGTTGCTGAAAACATCAACATCGTTACTAGAAAGGTTTTGAAAGTAAAGATAGAGAGAGATATTCTATACATATACCCCACAATCTTCCTAAGCTCAATACCTCCTCTCACTTTACATGCTGTTGTGACCTCGCCTTACTCCAAGCCTCTTGACGAGCACTCCATTTGCTTATCCTTTTAGTTAATTTGAAACGAGTGGGCAGGTACAGTCCGCCTCTCACATTCCTCACCCACCACTACTACACCTTCCCCACCAACCACTACTACACCTTCCTCACCCACCACTACTACACCTTCCTCACCCACCACCACTACACCTCACCAACCACTACTACACCTTCCTCACCAACCACTACTACACCTTCCTCACCCACCACTACTACACCTTCCTCACCAACCACTACTACACCTCCTCACCCACCACTACACCTTCCTCACCCACCACTACCACACCCTCACCCACCACTACCACACCTTCCCTCACCAACCACCACTACACCTTCCTCACCAACCACTACTACACCTTCCTCACCAACCACTACTACACCTTCCTCACCAACCACTACTACTAATCTTTCCCTCACCAACCACTACTTTCGCATCTCCTCACCAACCACTACCATAATTCCTTCCTCACCAACCACTACTACACCTTCCCTCACCAACCACCACTACACCTTCCTCACCAACCACTACCACACCTTTCACCCACCACTACTACACCTTCCCTCACCAACCACTACTACACCTTCCTCACCAACCACTACTTACACCTTCCTCACCAACCACTACTACACCTTCCTCACCAACCACTACTACACCTTCCCCACCCACCACTACTACACCTTCCTCACCAACCACTACTACACCTTCCTCACCCACCACCACTACACCTTCCCTCACCAACCACTACTACACCTTCCCTCACCCACCACTACTACACCTTCCTCACCCACCACCTCACTACACCTTCCCTCACCAACCACTACTACTACACCTTCCTCACCCACCACTACTACACCCTTCCCACCAACCACCACTACACCTTCCCTCACCCACCACTACCACACTCCCTCACCAACCACTACCACACCTTCCTCACCCACCACTACCACACCTTCCTCACCAACCACTACCACACCTTCCTCACCCACCACTACTACACCTTCCCTCACCCACCACTACCACACCTTCCCTCACCCACCACCTACCACACCTTCCTCACCCACCACTACCACACCTTCCCTCACCAACCACTACCACACACCTTCCTCACCAACCACTACCACACCTCCCTCACCAACCACTACCACACCTTCCTCACCCACCACTACTCACCTCACCAACCACCACACCTTCCTACCCACCACTACTACACCTTCCCACCAACCACTACTACACCTTCCTCACCAACCACTACCACACCTCCCCACCAACCACTACCACACCTTCCCCACCCACCATCACCACACCCTTCCTCACCAACCACTACCACACCTTCCTCACCAACCACTACCACACCTTCCTCACCCACCACTACTACACCTTCCTCACCCACCACTACTACACCTTCCTCACCCACCACTACTACACCTTCCTCACCCACCACTACTTCACACCTTCCCTCACCCACCACTACTACACCCTTCCCTCACCCACCACAACTACACACCTTCCCTCACCCACCACTACACCACACCTTCCTCACCAACCACTACCACACACCTCACCCACCACTACCACACCTCCTCACCAACCACTACTACACCTTCGTCACCAACCACTACTACACCTTCCCTCACCAACCACTACTACACCTTCCTTACCAACCACTCTACTACACCTTCCTCACCCACCACTACCACACCTTCCCTCACCAACCACTACCACACCTTCCTCCACCAACCACTACTACACCCTTCCTCACCCACCACTACTACACCTTCCTCACCAACCACTACTACACCTTCCTCACCAACCACCACTACACCTTCCCTCACCAACCACTACCACACCTTCCTCACCCACCACTACCACACCCCTCACCCACCACTACCACACCTTCCTCACCAACCACTACACCTTCCTCACCACCTACTACACACCTTCCTCACCAACCACTACACACCTTCACTCACCACTCCTCCTTCCTCACCCACACTACCACACCTTCCTGCCACCCTTCTGCCTTCCTCACCCACCACTACCACCTTCCTCACCACCACTACTACGCACTTCCTCACCAGCCACTACCACATTCCCCAACCACTACCACACCTTCCTCACCACTACCACCCTTCCACCCTACACCTCCCTCACCCACCACTACCACACCTTCCTCTTCCACTGCCTTCATCACCACCACCACACCTCCTCACCAACCACTGCCACGCATTTCCACCACCCTTCTCCACCACCCCTCCCTCACCACCACTACCACACACCTCCCCACCCTTCTCCCCTCCTACTCACCCACCACAACCACTTTCCCCACCCACCACAACCACCTTCCTCACCAACCACTACCACACCTTCCTCACAACCCACCACCTTCCTCACCAACTACTACACATTCCTTACCAACCACTACCACACACCTTCCTCACCAGC